TATATATATATATATATATATATATATATATCCCAGGCTAGCCTTGAACTCACATTTAGTTCAGAATGACCCTGAATTTTATATCCTCCTACCTCTACTTCCTGCATGCTGGGATTACAGGCATATACATATACATATACATACATATACATGTATATATTTATATCCTGTGGCAGTGGCTTTCAAGTATTTTGACCTTGACCCTTAAAAATACATTTCATAGTAAGCTTAGGAGATGATGCCTCAATCAGTAATGTGCTTACCTGTAAGCCTGGGACCCAAGTTCAATCCCCTAGAATCCACATAAGAAGCCAATCCTAGTGTGGGCCTGTAGCTCCAGCACCATCGAGGTAAGGACAGGACAGTTTCTGGAACTCACAGGCCAGATAGTCTAGTTGAATCAATTAGCTCTACAGTGAGAGATTGTGTCTCAAGAAAATAAAGTTGTGTGGTTGAGAAAGGTATCTGACATTGACCTCTGGCCCCTACACACATGTTTCTGCACTCATGTGCATAAACACACACACACACACACACACACACACACACACACACACACACTCACACACACTAATATGAAATATGTATTTCATATTACAACCCAGGCTATACTTAAAAGCATGTAAAGGAGACCACTTTGGAAACAATACTTATGCTAATAGACAATATATTTAGATGTTTCATTGTCTATTTTCTTTAGTTACATTCTCTTCTGCTCCTCTCTCTTTCAAATAAAATTCCCATTGGTAAATCACTATACTGATTTCACAACCATGTAAGTTGTGATTTCAGAGATTGAAAAAAAACTGCCTTGCAAAATTTGGTATACTTCCCGAGGTTGACTTAAGCAATGCCTCATGACAAATATACTGGAAGGACCTAGATATTTAGTTCAGTCTTTTTCTGGAACATGATTCAATCTACAGCATCTCCCCAAGATGGACTTGCTCTTCTCATTGAACACGCGTAGCGATGGAAAACTCACTTCCTTTTTAAGATCGTTCATTCTGTTCTGGAGAGTTAGCTCCTCATACAACTAATTACTGAGTCATTTAAAAATCATTTCAGAATGTTACAAGCATCTTTCAGTGTAAAGGCAAGGCCTCAATGCTCACATGACGGCGCTCCTACTATGCTGATGGTTGGTGTTAGCAGAAACACACAGAAGTACAGAATGTCACTGCTGCAAAACACAACTCAATCAAATGTTTCATTTCTCAGATGAGGAAACTTCCCACAAAAAGTAGGAAGTGGCTCAGTAGAGGTAATTCAGTAGCCAGTGAGAGGTCAAGGACCATTTCCCCCACTCACAATTAATTATTCTTCCTACCACATAATCACTTAATGAATGAACTACAAGGTAAATGGCACTGTGGAGGGACCAAAAAAGCAAATAAAAAACAATGCCATTCGGGATCAACGTCTCTGAATTGGATCTGCCCTGGTGGCTCCTGTTTTCCACTCTGCACTTCTATGCTGAGCACAAGTTCACAGACTTAGTAAAGGCACAAGGCCCCAGTATAGCTTCGGCAGTACTCATTGTGTCCATTACTCTTACCTGTTGGCAGCAAACTTGTTTGAAATGAAGCCACCAGGAATTTGTGTCACAATATAGCCCCAGAAGAAAGAGCCATGGATAAGGCCCACTGTCTCTGGATCCCAGTTAAACTGTGCCATCTGGAAACAAGAATCAGAAGCAGTTGTGTTTGTAACGGACAACTGATGGCATCTGTCACCATGTGACAATGTCATGAGGGTCTTCCTTTTTCAGCAGATATTTCTAGAAGATGCCTTGACTATTTGGGTTCCAGCAATGGGAGCATGAAACAAAGGGTCCCTGGTTCTACAAATTTACCTTCTAGTGAGAGGGAAAAGATGCATGAATTTAAGTACATACCCACATGTGTGTAAACTGTGACATACCAAATAGCCATGAGGAGAAAATAAAACAGTCTGTGAAGGAAACAAGAAACAAGTTCTGGACTTTGTTCAGATGCCAGTGTGGTGACAGCCTAATGATAACTATACTCTTAGGTCTCTCAAGTCCTTTTTTTTCATTCTTTTTAGTATTTTTAAGAGCTGCAGATGTAGTTTAGTGGTTAAAACACTCAATATTCCAAAATGGAAACAAAAAGAAGTTAGCATTGTATTATCAAATGTATTTTGGTGGTATGTGAGGTACTAGATTTAATCCCCGAGATAAATAATAAATAAATACTTCTTTTTGTCATTGTTTTGAAATGGGGTCTCATTATGTAACCCAGGTTGGCCTTAAACTTGTGATCCCCCAGTTTCAGCCTCCTGATTTCTGGCATTATAGGTATGCACCACCATGCCTGGCTGAGTCTCAATTCTACCAGCTGTTTACTGTTTGGTGACACCATCTCCTTCTCACACTTTTCTCTCTGAGTAGATGCCATTTCTGGTCTGTGAAAGGACTGATACCTGTTCAAAGAGCACTGAGACCTGCTGAGAAGTGACTTTCCACATTGCCTGAGCCCCTCTGAATAATAAGGGTGAAACAACTTGAACAGAAACTTTACCACTTAATACGGACAAATGGCCAATAGCCATACAGTTAACCATTAGGAAATTTTAAATATCAGGGAAATACAATGGGGGGGGGGGGTGGGTGTGTGTGGGTGTGTACATATAAAAAGAGGAGGCAAAGAAGAATTGGTGAAGATGTGAAGAAATTGGAATGTTTTGTGTTGCTGATGGGAATGAGGAATGGAGCAATTACTCATGAAAACAGTATAGAATTTCCCCCCAAAAAATCTAAAAAACAAATGCTAAAAATGTAACTCCATATCTATGCTTTGGAGTATTTCTACAAAAGATATCAGAATCTCAAAGTCGTCTGTACTCTCATGTTCACGATTATCTGAGATACAGAAACAACCTAGATGCCCACTGACAAATGAATTTAAACAGTGAGGCTTGTTTGTTCAATGGAAAGAAACATTATGTAATATTCAACAGCCTGGATGAAGCCAGGAGATGTCACAGGAAATAAGCCAGCCAGAGAAAGAGAAATTATTCTACCAACATGAAGGATCTGAAATAGGCAAATTAATAGAATTAAAGAGGAAAGAATGATTTTTTAGAGACTGGGGGGACAGAAATGGAGAGTCAGCAATCAATGGATAAAATATATCCCTCAAGCCAGTGACTAAGGTTTGGAGATCAACACTACAGCTACAGTCAAGGATAATGCATCGTACACTTAAATTTTTATCAAATGGGTTGCTCTCAGTTGGACCAGTTGGCACAGGCCTATACTCACAGCTACTGAGGAGGCTGAAGCAGGAGGATCAAGCCCAAGACCTACTTAAACTACAGAGTGAATTCATTGCTACCCTGGGCAACTTAGTGAGAACCTGTCTCTGGTGAGAAATACAGCTTAGAAGTAGAGCGCTTCCTCTACCCCAAAAACCATTCATCCCAAAGTTTTGCTATCTGAAAATGTCCCTTTAGTTGGAAAACAGATCTTTGCAAATGTGAAAAGTTCAAAGGGTCTGTAATGAGATATCCAGAATTATCCAGCTGAACCTTTTATCCAACTCTGAAGATGAAAGCAGTGACTGGGTGATTCAGTCACAAGCCCAGAGATGGCAAAGTCAAGGAGATAGTCTCTGCAAGGTATATGAGAGACATGATGTCCTGCCAACCCTTTGAGTTCAGACTTCTTGTCTCCCCAGAACTATGAGAGAATAAACATGTGTTGTTTTAAGATATCAAGTTGCTAGTAATGGCTATCCTAGAAAGCTAGGAAGCTCACACAGGTGCTTAAGAGAAATAATCTATTTGATTCACAAGCAGTCCTTTTTGTTCCATTACAATAAGGGCCGTGAGGGTTAGCAAAAGATTGAGAGAAGTGCTATTTTGTGTTGCTGTGTTCATCCTCCTTCAAAGAGCATCTTGTTTCCCTAACCATAGGATACTCCCCCTCTGCTTGCTACAGCTGATGGACACCAGAATAGAGAGCCATATAATGGGATCACAGGATTCAGTTGTGGGACAGGGAGAAGCCATGGTAAAAGACAGAAGGTAGTCCGTCGGGAGACATGGGAAACTGGAGCAGACCGGGAGAAGGTGAGAACCTGTGAGGCCCACAGGCAGGAGACCTTAGCCAAGAACCTCCCAGTTCCCCTGGGGTAAAATAGAGTCTACATCTCCCCCAGGGGCTATGTTCTTGTCTCAAGAATTATACAAAGATACCTTACTTCCCTTGGGAGAGGGCATTCTGGACCTCAGTTCCCAGCCTCCAAGATGGATCCATCCACACCAACTTCTGCAGCCAACCTGCTTTCCGAACTTCACTTTTACAGGGTTTCACTCAAGTCTTCTGTTAATCTGAGTGTCTCTCACTGAATTCTACTCTTTGTAGCCAGCAATCCCTGACCAAGACACAAGGACATCTTTTCCAGGGCCCAGGAGCTAAGGAGCAGTGAAGTCTGAAAGCGGCTCTGTGGCATCCTGAAATCCATCACTGAAATCCTGCAAGACTCTTGAGTAATGAGAATAGTGCCAAGTTTCTCAGACTACAGTTGGTTTTGTTGTTGGTTGGTTGGTTGGTTTGGGGGGGATGTTTGGTTTTTGTTGTTGTTGTTTGGTTGGTTTGGTTTTGGGGTTTTGGGTTTTTTGCTCACTATATGCCAGATATAAAGCTCCAAATGCTTTAACTTATAAATCTGAGGGGGAGGATTGCCAAGAGTTGAATCTGGGGCTTCACCTATGCTAAGTCCGTGCTTTTCACTGAGCTGCCCCATAACAGCAACTCATGACATGAAACTAAAATGTGACATCAGCTAAATCATCCTTTGTACCATTTCAACTAAACCTGTCCATGGAACTTACCCTGACCCACAAATGGGGCTTCCAAAAATATCTGTGTAAAATAACTATATTTTCCCATGAAACAAAACACAGAAATGGAAATACCAGCCATTCCGAGCATTGTCACCCTGCTGGTCACACTCAGCTGATACCTAACTTGTTCTGTGTGGAGAAGAGAATAGCCTGCCATGAATTAGTTTTGCTTGCTAGAGCATGTTCATTTGTTGTTGTTGTTTGTTTTTGTGAGGTTTTAATTTTAATTCTTGTTATCAAGGGAATTGTTATTGTTTGGAGTCCTATTTGGAGATTAGATTTTTCCCTTATTTTACCCTCTCTCTAGTTTTGTTTTTTGTTTTGTTTTGTTTTGTTTTTGAGACATGTCTTGTTATATAACCTAGTTTGTCTTTGAACTCAATATTTAGCTGAAACTGACCTTGAACTCAACCCTGTCCCCTGCCTCACTCTCCTGAGTACTAGGTTTATAGGCATAAACCACCATGTCTAGTACCTAAACCCATACTCTTGATGCCAGACAGCATGATATAAGGCGTATTTTAGATCTTAACCAGATCCTCTAAGTAATGTCATAGAAACTGGAGAGCCCACACGAGCATTGCTCCTTCATGTTACCAAAATGTCTCTTCTCTGCCTTAATTTCTCAGATTCTGTTGACCTACTGACTTTTCATGTAGCAAATGCAAACAGCATCTCATTTTGATTTGTGCCTCAGCAGGCAAGTTCTCATTAGCCAGCCTTGCTCACAAAAAGGCTGGAAGAATGCATGCTGCACATCTGAAAGCCCACCAATATTCCTTTTTTAAATGCATTGAACGTTTCTGTCCCTGTCTTACCTCCTCACTCCACCACCATCTCCCCAAATAAACAGGATATCTTTTTTTCAGAAAGACTCAGCTGAGGTATCAAAAGCAGACTAAAGCATCTCCATGGTGCTGCTTTGCTTTGGCAGAACAATCTCTCAAAAAGAAAGGGGAAAGCCTGCGTGCCGGCTAAAGACCTCTTTGTCATGAACTGACATCAGATTTCCCAAAGCCAGTCCTTGGCAGGAGACTGTTCTAGGTGACGCTAACAGATATGACAGCAAAAAGAAGGCTGCCATGTTGTCGGCTGATGAAATACTACCTCCCATGTCCCCGTCTCAGAGTCACACAGCACTCGGAAGCAGTCCAGGCTTCATGTCACATGATGTCTTCTTACTACAAAACCTTGCCAGTAACACCATGGCTTCCCAAACACCAACATGGGAAACTTGGATCTAAGCACACATCCAAACAGACATCCAGAGAACCTCTACTCCAGGTGCCTTTCTGAGAAGGACCAGTCTCTACCACACCCACACCACCACTTCACACCCATGCTCAGTATAGTGAAGCACAGTTATGGGACTGTCTACAGGGACACATTTTCATTTATTCATTCCGTAATTTATGAGGCCTACCTAGGTTAAAATAAGACTAGATTTATGTTTCCAGTATTCATAACAACAGTTTATTACATAACACCAGTACTTCCCCATGACAGCACCAGCCTGAGAACTTTTGCCAAGCCTCTTACCATTGCACAGTAATCATAAATTTGTGGAAGAATTCAGGTGTGTCTGTGAACTTAGATGGGGAAAAGTCAGGTTTTTTTTTTAACTTAATATATAATCTTTTTATTAAGAATTTGATTTCATGAAACCATTTTGCAAAACAACTTCTTGATTTGTATAATACCTGGAGTAAAACTTTGGGATAGAATGCTCTGAAGTGAGTTGCTTTGGTTCAGGTTTCTAGAACATATCTTTTCCCTGGAATTCCATGTCAGTGGGTAATCCAGCAAAGTTGCAGTCAAGTGTTCTAATAAACCACAGAAAAGTCATTACCTTTATCTTTACTACCTGCTGACTAAAATTTAGAATTGCTTCAAATGTGAACACAGTTAAAAACATGGTAAAATCTGTTCCACTACTGCGCGTCATGAGTGACAGACAGAAACATGTAAAAATTTTATTATAGTTGTTGCCCTGATCACAAACGGTTGTTTATACTTCCATTAAAATTATAGCAATTTCAGGAACTTTGCTAGATTTTGTCATCTAATGTACTAATAAGGAAGCCCATGTTTCTACAACGTAAATTTGATTTTTAAATAAGTTCTACATTTTGATATAATTGCCTCCCTTTATAATCTTTTGTCTATTATGCTAAGAATTTCAAACATTATCTCTGATCAAAGGTTCAGCAGGTTGTTCCCAGGGTTCAAGGGGTTTATAGCACAGAAAAGTGAGGGTCTCAAGTCTCAGTTCCCAATACACCAGATTTGTCTGTCTGCAAACCATTACACACAGTGTTCCTTTTTCTTCCAACATTCGTTGTCCTACCCCACCAAACCTCTGTCTAGTTCAGCCTTCACTTTCTCTGGAAAGTCACAATACCATAGTCTTGATATGCTCACTCTTATAGGAGCCCAAGAATCTAGTGCAGCCATACTGACATGGCAACTGGCACGCCAGATTGTCACTTATACTATATATCTCCTGGAGTTCAAGGTCCCTGTCAGTTTTATTCAGCCTTACATCACTATCACCATGTCCAGGACTCAGTATGAATGAATTTCTCTATTTTCTTTTACACAACTCTCTCTCTCTCTCTCTCTCTCTCTCTCTCTCTCTCTCTCTCTCTCTTTCCACACACACACACACACACACACACACACACTTCTGCTTTAGCTCCATACTGACCTGAATTTCTGGTTTTCCATCCACATACACAGTGCTATTGTTGACCATTTCCACAATGGCCACTCCAAGGTTACACCGAATTCCAAAGGAAATGCAGAATCCCAGGCCACTCATGATAGCGATGATGTACCGCTTGGGGATGCCACAGCAGCTGCAGTCACAGACTGGGAGATGTGGCCTGGATGCTTGCACGGGCCTTCCTTCTTCATTCAGCTCAATGTTATCTTCCTCTTCATTGGTCCCATCGATTTTTCTGCATCACAAAAAGAATAGGCAGAGAATAAAGGCCAGTATTCGAGGTGAGGGAAAATGAATAAAGTAAAAAATAAAAATGTTGCAAGGAACAAAGGGAAGAAAACCTACAGAAGGGTGCAGTTTGTGTTTTAGAAGTTATTATCATCATCATTATTGTTAAAGGAGAGGATAGTGGCTAAAATGACTGATGTTCGGGGTATTGTGGTGGACACCAATCATTCAGACCTGCTGGGGTTGGCGGTGTAAACCTGTCATTCCATCAAGGGGCAGCGGTGGACAGGAAGGTCTCAAGTGCAAGCCTGAGGAACAGCAAACCTGATTGCAGCCTTGACTGCCAAGCGAGGCCTTATAGAAAAAACAAAACAAGCCTTTTAAATGTCATACAAATACAATGAGGTGAAGTACCCTCATGCCATCTATAGATCAGGATACCTCATTTGAGGATGTTTGCAAGCCCAGGTTCAGATTCTATGTCCTTAGTAATATGCCAGACTGAATTCCTGCTGAAAGAAAAATGGGACGACCACGTGGCATGACCCAGCCATTTGGGTCACGAAAAGTCACGTGAAGCTTGTTAAGATTATATGCAGAAAAAAAAAAGCCACTTGCAGATTATTTTCACTCACTTCTCTAGTTTCAAGGAATGATACATCCTTACAATTGCCAGCTTCTAAGACTGGTTCTCAACCCTTCCACAGGGGTCACATATCAGATATCCTGGATATCAGATATTTATATTAGGATTCAAAACAGTAGCAAAATTACAGTTAAGCAGAAAAAATAACTTTATGGTTGGGGTCACCACAACGTGAGGAACTGTATTAAAGGGTCTCAGCATTAGGAAGGTTGAGAGCCACTGCTCTAAAGCAATAAAAGTAACTGAGCAAACAACACAATCAATTATGAAAAGAGAGGTGTTTGGAAACTGATGGTTCAGTCAGTGAAGTCTTTGCCATGTAGGCATGAGGAGTGTGGGTCCCCAGCACCCCCATAATAATCTAGCCCTGGAGAGCATGTCTGGGACCCAATGCTGAGGTAGGAGGCAAAGGCAACCTAAACAAAGTGATGAGCTCCAGGTTCACTGAAGACTCTGCCTCACACACAAGGTGGAAGGCAGACAAGGAGCCTCAGAAGGGAAAGTGCTTGCCAGGCAAGCCTGAAGACCTGAGTTCAATCCCCAAGTCCCATGGTGGAAGGAGAGAACCAAGTCCTAAAGGTTGTCCTCGCACTTAACACACACATAGTGGCAAGCACATGCCACTCCTCTCCCTCTCCCTCTCCCTCTCCCTCTCCCTCTCTCTCTCCCTCTCCTTCTCCCTCTCTCTCTCTCCCTCTTCCTCTCTCTCTCTCTCTCTCTCTCTCTCTCTCTCCCTCCCTCTCTCTTTCAGTGATATTTATAAACAAACAAAATAAAGAATAAAATAGATAGTGATCGACAAAGACATTCAAAATCAACCTGACCTCCACTCTCGTGCACACATGCACACATGCTCACACACACATGCACACATGTGCACACAGATGTGCATACACACATACAACGCAAAAAAGAACTATTTATAACATGTGATGCTATAGCCTTCTGTGTATGATTCTCAGCTTTCATAAATATTAAATTAATATAATTGTTAATGTGATTATTAACAAAATAGTTGATTTCTAAAACAATTTTCCTTTCCCCACTAATACATATAGATGGTTTTCACAGCTGTTTGTGATAAGATTCAAAGTGCATATCCAGAAGAAACACAAACAATCCTGAGACCCACATCAGTGCCATGGACATTTACTAATCGCATACTGCATGCCAGGCACTGTGCTTCTGGTGCAAAACAGTGATGGGCATGGCATGTTCCCCACGCTCCTCCAGCAATTACACTGGTAGGGAAGGAAGACACACACATACTCAGCCATAGTCATTGAATGACACACTGCATGTAGTGTGACCCGAAAGTCGTCTCCCTACCCTGGCTCCCCTCCCTCTCTGCCCACATGCTGTCCACACCCCTACTACCGCCTCAATTTTTCTTAACACATGTCTCCCATGTCTAGTAGATCTCAGTGAGTTCAAGGCCAGCCTTGAACATAGTGAGTTCCTTAACAGCAAGGGCTACATAGTGTAACCTTGTGTCTCAGAAATAAAATAAATTGCTGGGGGTTTGCTGTGTTTTGTTGTTGTTTTGGCTTGGTGGGTTTTCTATAGGCAAGCTCAAAGAGGAAGGCTGACAGGCAAGTCACAATTTAGATAATCAGAAAGCCTATATGTGACGAATAGCTGGGTGACTTTCGGCAGGCACCTTGGTGATTGTGAATCTCGTGTTTCTTCATCTATATAATAAACACAGTATATTATAGAGTGGTTAAGATTTTATGCTACAAAGAATAAAACATTACAGCCAGTGAAGGAGTGACCCTTGACTGAATGATAGGCTCTATCTGTGCCTTCCTTGATATTTCAAGTGTTGCCTGGCTTCTGTCTCCTTTGTTTTGTGCTAAGCACATTCGCTGTATCCCCTGTTGCTGTACTATTTTATATGCCTCTGTCTGAATGCTTATCACATCAAGTTAGAGAATTTTTGTGTTCTTTAGCATAGGGGGTGGAGAGTAAGTATTCCACACTGCGCATGTGTGCATGAATGAATGAAGACCTGCCCACTGGTGGCTGTGAGCATACAGAGGGCAGAAGCCATGGCCTTGTCTATCGCCAGTGTTCACCACAGTTCCTGAAGACAATGAATCCTCATTCAACCAAGTAGAATTGGGGGTTAGATCACATCGTTCCAAACTTGCAGCCCTTAGAGACTGCTCCAAAATAATCTCTAAAGAAAGGATAAGGGGTACACTTGATCAAGAAAAAAGAAAAAATAATTCCTTTCTTAAGAAACAGGGGGTGTTAATTATCCATAATAGATGTTTATACCCCTTGGGTTTCTCTCCATGTTTGCCTATAGTTCTTCTTTTAGATTAGAGAATCTTCATTCTTCCCAGAACGACAGCCAGCATTGTTGTTTCTCCAAATATAGAAAACTGCAGACTGGGCTGGGGCCCTTTCCTCAGTAGGGAGGTTCCTTCCATTGTTCTCATATACGATTGTCTAGTAAGCATTTAAGCCCTGGGATCCAATTGCTCAAGATACTCTGGCCAGCCTTCAGGCATTTTCAGAACAGTTAACTTGTCAGTGAATCCAAAGGTCCCACGGACTATAGGGAAGGTTTTTTTGCTTGGGAGAAAATAGCTCAATACCAATGACACACAGATCACTCAATAAGTGTTTAAATTCCACTCACTTGCTGACTTTGGGAAAGTATTTATGATGAGATCCCAAGTAAAATGAGAGTAAGTCCTCTTTAGATTGTGTTGTAGACTAAAGGAGTGTACACACACACACACACACACACACACACACACACACACGCATGCACGTTACGATAAATCTTTTTCTACCTGACTCCGTATTGGTAATTCCTCACTTTACACACACACAGTTATTGCTTGGATGTAAAATGTTCTCCACAGGTTCATATGTTCAAACACTCGATCTCTGGATGTTAGTGCTATTTGGAGAAAACTCAGCTGGAGTAAGAGACTCACCGAGTAGGCTAAGCCTTGTGGCCTGTAACCTAGCCTTGCTTCCTACCCCATTTCTGCTTCCTGATATACCCAGATGTGAGCAACCAGCTTCACACTCAGACCTCCACAGCTACAATCCTCTCTAGCCACCATGCCTTCCCCCACCATCATAAACTGTACCTTCAAGCCAGGAGCCAAAGTTGACCACTCCTCCTTTTAAATTGCTTTCTGTTGGGTGTTTGGTTACAGCAGTAATCCAATCAGTAACACATAAACTTTAAAAATAAAACTTCACAGATGCCTAGAGTGGGGTGGTGGTCAGTGCCATTAGCTTCCTTCTGTTTCAGTGAATAGCCAGCCACTCACTGAACATATGGGAAAAACAAACAACAATAGTAACAGCTTTGAGCTGTGACTCTGAAAAGGGAAAATGAGAGCACTGTTTTCCAGGATAGCCATGACAAAATACCACAGAAGGGGGAACTTAAACAAGTGTGTCTTGTCACAGCTCTGGAAGCTGCAAGTCCAAGGTTAAGGTTTTAAGCCAGTTTGGTCTCTTCTGCAGCCTCTGCAGACACATCTGGCATCAGCATGATGTGGGGGGATCTGAATTAATCACCAGAATTTTAAAAACTTAAGTTGGTCTGGAAATAAATGGAGTTCTGGTTCATTTTGAAAATTTTGAAGATCTAGAATTACTAAGTCCAGGAAGAAGAAGTGGAGGAGGAGGAGAAGGAAGAAGAAGAAGGAGGAGGAGGAGGAGGAGGAGGAGGAGGAGGAGGAGGAGGAGAAGAAGAAGA